GAGAGGTCTGCCTCGCCATTTGGTCACCTCCGGGGCAGGCAGGGATCGGACTCATGCGGAAGTGGCTCAAGCTTCTCAGTGCAGTGCTTTAACCCGCTGTGCCACCAGGGAGGGCCCCATAAATGAATTTTGCCAATGAATAAACTAAAAGATATTTAATCATTAAAAAGAAAAATATAAATGAAATCCACAGATATACTACTTGAAAACAGCAGGCAGACTAAGGCAGGTGGGAAAGACAATTTAACGAGTATTGATAAAAATGATAAACTAGAAATTTTATGTAACAAAAGGGAATGTAAAATGATGCATCACTTTGGAAACAATTTGAAGAAGCCACCTCAAAATGTTACAGACTTACCGTAAGACCCAATAACCAAAAATGTCCTAAAGTTATTAATAGCTGCACAACTCTAAGAAATACAAAAAGAAAATTGGATAAACTTAAATGGGTGAATTGTTTATCTTTTTAATAAATCTGACCTGACTGATCAGGAAAAGTACACGTGGACAATGGTTCCAGAAGGGCCTAGACTTTTTTATACTTATATAGTTGTCTGGCTCCTCCATATAGGTTCCAAAGGGTAGGTCTGTCTTGTTCATGCACTCAGTAAGTGCGGCTAAAGAGGACCTTGCCTACAAAAGGTCATTAACACATAGTTTCCAGTCACCCTCAAACTCAAAGCCTTATTTCACAACCACCTACTGGCCTTCCTGTCCAAGACTTAAGTGAAGGAATCTGGAATAACATGAGCACCCAGGGAAGGTGGTCTGCACGACTCCATTGGGAAGAGTAATCAACTGACCAGGTTCTGCCTGCATTGTCACATGTCCTAATGCCTAACCGAAATGCCATTGAGCAATACTAAAGTTTCCTGGCACTAACAGGAAACCTCAGACCATTCCTTTTGAGGTTTGAGGTTTCCTGTTCCCCTAATTAGCAAATTAATGTGCCCTTCTTGTCATTAAATTATAACAAAAACTGTTCTAATGCTGTGGTTTAAATCCTCCAAATGGTCCCAGAAGGTCTAGCAGTCACCTTAACAGTAACTATCCTTCCTTCCATTTTTCAGTAACTGAGGTGACCTCAGGAAAAAAAGCATTAAAAAACAAAAAACAAAAAACCCCACTTCAGATGGCTAGCTGGGCTCTGTGCCACTAAGTATAGTCTATTCATAGGCTGTTTAAAGGATAATCCTGTGTTGTGGTGCCATATATTAAGAATTTTGATTCTTCAGTGTTCTCCATACTGTATTACCAGATTTTAAGCTCACCCTCATTTCATTTACCTTTATTTAATCGCGTTCACAAAAAATGCCAGGATCTGATTATTAAGTAATGAACAATATCCATCCCAAATTATGCACATGGGTCTTCATAGCACTTTATTCATAATTCCAAAACTTAGAAGCAACAAAGATATCCTTTAATAGCTAAATAAACTATGGTACATCCAATGGAATATTATTAAATATTAAATGGAAATGAGCTATTAAGTCAAGGGGGAAACTTACATGTATTTTACTAAGCAAAAGAAAATCTGAAGACTATGTGATTCCATACACGGAAGCAGATGTATACAG